CTCTCTTGGGGAAGGTTAAGGGAGGGTCGCAATTTGCATATGCTGAAAATTTGGTATTGTAGATGTCCTAGGCTGGTTAGATATTTCCCAGCAAACTCTAAACTTTATGTCTCTTCCTAAATCACCCCATGCATTCCTCTCCTTCAACCACTTACTCAGGGGTCGGTCTTCTTCTCAGACCACCCTACCTATAAATTCCTTCCCACTTCCACTTCTTTAATGTGTGTGTGTTGGTTTGGGGCAGTCTGGGATAATGGCTGTTTATTTCTCTCCACACTTCAAGCAGGGTTGAGGATAAAGCACACAGGCTCGAGGCAGACCAAGGGCTAAGGCTTTCTTTGCAGCTGGTTTTGTGAGTCACTGCACACTCTGAGCACCCGCCCACTGGCAGCAGCTTAGCTTGTGGGAACGGTTAGACCCAGTCTAGGGACTGGGGCTTTCTCGGTGGCCTTGTCAGCTCACAGCAGAAGTGAACAGCCTTGAGTTGAGGAAATTGTGGCTGGACAGGCACAGAGGTAGTTCTGCTCCATGCTCGTGTCCTACTGATTCAGCTGCTGAGCCTATTAAATCTGAGTACCCGAAGAGGAGAGGCCTCTTCTGGCCCCCACTGGCCTGCTCTGTTCTGTGGGGATGTTGCAGCAAGCTGCCCTACTTGCACTCTTCCTGCTCCTCAGGGGTCACCAGGGTCACGGTAAGGATTCCTGGTTGGTGTGGGATGGGGCTGGCATGAACTCATGGGTGCATGTATGTGTCTGGGAGATCAGAGCTCACAGTCTCTGATTATGCCACCTACATAGTCACCTGGAATTCAGGGAGCAAGAGGAGAGACTGGAGGAGGTGGTCCAGGTCCTGTAGGCCATTGTGAAGCACACGAACTTCAGTGTGCTTTAGTCCGTGTGAAGTATGGAAAGCCGGAGTGATGTGTGCATTCGGGCTTCACATCCACTTTTCTCTGTCTGGGAGCAGCTTCATTGCCAGCCATGGGATTTCTCTTTTATCCTGTTTGTCCAAACACCACCTTGTCAAGGTTGTCTTCCCCACCGTGAGCACCAGCAATTCCTGATCTTTCATTCTACATGATATTCTCGAATGTCCTGTCTCCATTTTACATACCACAGTGCTTACGTTATTTTCTATTGCTCAGTGTCTACTTCAGCCCCACTAGAATGTAAGGACCTAGAGACCAAGGCTTTTAATCTTTTTTTGCTTCATTGCTGCATTCTCAGCATCCAGAATGGTCTCCGGCACAAGCAGACCTTCAGTACAAATTTATTTCCATACTCACACCTTCTTCTCTGTTCTCATCTGCCCTCTGAATATGTTTTGAGCAGCTCTGTATTAAGCCAGATGATAGACATTGAGGATCATGCTTGCATAAACCCTTGGCACATATGTGTATGGGGCCTACATGCTGTCAGTCCAGTGCCATGACATGCCGGACAGAGCAGGTGTTAAAATCTCTTTGTTGAGTGAATAGCACATACTTTTCTGGAATCATGGAGATGGACTAGAATGGTAACTTGAGTCAGACACATAAAAACAGGGAGGGTACACCTGGGCCCCAAAGTTCATTTGGGGCCCTGACTTCAGATTTTTGTTTGCCTGTTCTGAAGAAAAGGATGGGGTGGGAATTGTGAGTCCTTTGGATGCTTTGGGTCTGGGTGAGGATGGAGATAAAGGAAGAAAGGCTGAGCCGGTGCCCCCCAGGATGGATTGTGTTGCACCTTGCATTCCTCGGGGACTGGCACTGGTTGTCACTGCTCTGGAAGGGATCTCGGAGGCTCTATCAGGTCAGAGTCTTTTAAACTCAACTTTTACCCATCACCCCTCCTCTCAAACAAGGCATGAGATGGGGAGGAACTGGGTGTGGGAGAGATTTTGGCTCAGGGATCAAAGGAGCTCTAGGTCTGCAGGATTCACTCCAGGGGCAGCCAGATGACGTATTTACCAACAAACCCTTATTAAACTGTGACATATGTACAGAAATGTGCATGTCAGTTACTTTGGGGACAACTTTGGGACAATCATATTCACCCCCAATCATTACCTACTCTCTTTTCCAAAAATATAAATAATATTCTAACTTCAAATCTCACAGGTTAATTTTGCCTGGACGTAAGTAGAATTCCATGGTACAGGTTCCTGGCTTCTTTTGCTTGACATTTTATGAGGTTTGACTACGTTATTACCTGCAGCTTATCACTTTCAAAGCTGTGTAATATTTTGTCTCATGTTTGCATCCTAATTTGTTCATTCTGTTATGGGTGGACATTTGGAGTTTTAAAACAGCATTATAAAAACGCTGTGAGCCTTTCCAAACATGTCACAGCACATCTTCAGGGTCAGATCACAGAGGTCAAGAGTATCTACTCATAGCAGGTGCTGCCGAGCTGTTTTCAGCAGTGCTTGAGCCAGGTATACACAATATTTCAAGTTGCTTCAGGGAGGGCAATTGGCTTTTTTTTTTTCTTTGAGGTTCTGTAAACAGGAAGTGAAATTGCAATGATGTGGAGCCCACAGAGCGAAAGGACAAAGCCGAGGGGTCTGTGTGACTTCTTTGACATTTGATGTGAAATCTCTGTAGGAAGCCACTCTTGGGAGCTAAACAAAAGGCATTCGTGAATTAATTAAACAGATTCATTATGGCTTTTCCATGTGCTGGGAATTAAGCAAAATTTTGCAAAGAAACAGTTGAAGCTGTGCTTTTATTTGCTATTGTTTCGTTGGTTGGTTGGTTTGGTTTGGTTTGGTTTTTCAAGACAGGGTTTCTCTGTAACTTTGGAGCCTGTCCTGAAACTAGCTCTTGTAGACCAGGCTGGCCTTGAACTCACAGAGATCCACCTGCCTCTGCCTCCCAAGTGCTGGGATTAAAGGCATGTGCCACTACCGCCTGTTTTATTATTATTATTATTATTATTATTATTATTATTATTATTAGATAGAATTTCGTGTATCCCAGGTTGGCCTGGAACACAGAGCATCGGTCGTGGGAGGCAAGGACCCTATTAATTAAATTACACCCCCACCCTCAGATGCTGATCTTATCTTTGAGCAGTTTTACCCTTTAGCTTCTTTCAGACAAGAAAATAGCTGTGCACAATTCTAACTAGAAGGGAAGGCAGAAGATGCCCTGGTGCTAAGAGTCAAGGGACATTTGAAAGACTCTGGGAAGATGATGGATTCTTGCAGGTGGGGGTTACTCAGAAAACTGGAAAACAAGGACCAACCTCGGCCCAGGAAATAACCTAAATAAAAGAAAACACAGAATTTGAATGAGAAGCCTAAGGCAGTAGTTCTCTTGGAGAAAGATAGATACTTAGGTGAACTGGGAATAGGAGAGGGACACAGGCTAGGTCCATTTTGACAGAAAGGGGAGTATCAGCTTGCTTGAGGAGAGGCTGTGGTCAGTCAGTATAGAGCTAAGTGGAGAGAGAAGAAGAAGGAAGTAGGCTGTGGCCTCTGCAAGGAACTCACTCTTTTGTCTTGGCTGCTGCTGGCCCTGCCAAAAACTCTGTCTTTGTTCACTCTCCAGCATTTGACCTCATCTGCTATCCCTGCCCTAAGCCTGGTAACACAAACCCAGCAAAGAAAGACCTCCCCGCCCCGCCTCCCTCCCCACTCCGGAACTCAGGCTTCCCAGCTTCCTGTGAACAGTAAGTCTAGGTTGGAGAAAACTGAGCTGACTGATCCCTGGGGAGTGTCAGCGTGGGTGACTCCCTTGCTGCGTCAGAGCCCTTGGCCATTCTTTCTGCTTGCTGCTTACTTCCCCAAGCAGCAGTCGAGTTCATTAAATTTCCCCTGTCCTTCTTCTATAGACTTAATATTTTACCTCATCCGTTCTTAACCACCGGAAAAGAGCCCCCGAGGCGGCAAGCAGCAGCAACAGCAGGGGCTGTGGCGTCCCTGACCACCGGAACTGGCTGCGGCCACTCCGTTCTGAACTGACAGTCGCTGTACTCTTCCTCTCACTGTGAGCATATAAGAACTTGTGAAGTTACGCTTTCTTTCTCTCATCTCCTCATATTAGCGTTTCTTTTTCCGTACCGTACACCTCCCCGGGATGGGGACTAAGGTCTTCTTTCTCTCACAGTTCTTGTCTTTCCTCTAAATATACTTGTGTGTCTCAGCTGTTAGGCCCCTCCAGGAAGTGCACACCAACTCAATTGCCTTTCTCCTTTCACTGACCTTGGAGACCTATTGGGATTTATTGCTGACTGGTAGAGGTCGCAGTCTGCCATAAACCTAGCAACTTTTTCTCTAGACTCTGGCAATATGGGGCCCCCTTCCTCCCCAGCAAGACTTCTGGCTCTCTTCCTGCCCTTATCTGGAGAATGTCCCTGGGCCTGGAGGACTGACCTTATCTGAAAGCAGTTTCAAAACTAGGTGCCTGCCTTTAAAACCAGATGCCTGACTTAACTTTAGCTCAAACCCTGACAAAGATCCCTGCTGGAAGGCTCCCTTGCTGCGCATAATGGGAGCCTTTTGATAGGCGTGCACCTCTTAATGCAAATTAGGTGATGCCCCTGCAGACGTTCCCTGCCTTCTTATTCCCCTTCTTCCTGAAATAAAGTGGAGTTGTAACATTTAGTCCAAATAGGCCTCTCTGGACTCCCCCGACTCACAAGCCCTGGGATCCTGCTCCCTTCCCTCTCACGAAGATCCCCAAGATCTTCTCAAGGAAGAAGAGTGGAGACAAGAGACCTGCAGGAGAAAAGTCACCAAAGGACAGAAGTAGAGTCATGGCCTCTGAGCTCAGCTGAACCCTTAAAGTCCTAGGAGTTCCTTTGCCCCTTTGAAAATCAATTTATTCTTTGAGACTTTCGTGCAATATATTTTGATCATTTTCTTTCTTTCCTCCCAACTCCGCCCAGTTCACCCCCCCCCCCCAACTTGCCTACTTACCCACTCAACTTCATGTTTTTCTCTCTCGAATAAAACAGCACACACATGAGTATTGGTCAACTACTCGAGTATGGGTCCTACTCTGGAGTGTGGTAGATATATCCAGTGTTACTTCATTGAAGAAAACCGATTTTCTGTTTCCCTCTCCTGGAAGCTATTAATTACACACACACGTGCACGCAATAATCTTGAACTTCTGATTCCTGTAATGTGACTCTTAAGTACTGGAATTATTTAATGTGTGCCAAAACGGCCAGGTTATGCGGTGCTGGGAGTTCAACCCAGTGCTTTGTGGCAAATCCTCTACTAACTGAGCTACATCCTCAGCTTCTGGTTCCTCTTTAAAAACATCTTTTAACATTACATTTTATTGTGTGTGTGTGTGTGTGTGTGTGTGTGTGTGTGTGTGTGTGTGTATGTGTGTTCTTGAGACATGGTGCTTAAGTGGAGATCAGAGGACACCTTTTGAGAGTTGATTCTTTCCTTCCACCCTGTGGGTCCAGGAGATTGAACTCAGGTCATGAGCCTTGGCAGCATACACCTACCTTTGTCCACTGAGTCATCTTGCTAGCCCCCTTATCACCTCTTTTATTTATGGACAAAACCATGTTAGGTATATAAATCCATTCAGCATTACAGAAACATAAAGAATAGTGGTATAATTAAGTAATTGCCCTCAGTACAGTGTAGCGTTAATAATGACTATAGCTCTCACAGGAACAGAATACTCCATTTTCTGTACGCTCCACACTTAATTGTGTGCTAGTGGAGAACAGAGTGGGTCTCTGC